GAATTAATTGAATTAGCTAATCGAGTACCGATGCATTGTGAAAATAAAACTGGACTCTTGGAAGTTTCATCGATGATGATCTTAATTGGGGATTAAATGTCTCTTTCCACCTATTTTCTTTTTCTTTGTTTAACAAAATATCAAAATGTAAGAAAAGAAACTTTAAAAAATTTTATTAATTTTAAATTGAATTTAAGTTCATACGCGACGTTTTCCATTGTGGTTTAAAAATTATGTCTCTGAAACGTTGAGGGTTCGCAAATTAATAAAAAGAAATAATACAAAAGTTGCGGATTTATTATTTTAGTAGGAAGTGATCTTTGGCCCACTTTGGCAAATTATCATTCAAAGGTATTCAAATGTATTATAATTAACATTTTGTATAATAAGTTACTTAGAGTCCGGGTCGTAAGTCTAATCGAAAACATCATTGACATATCGATCATAAATACATAAAATATAAATATTCTTCAGTTTTAATACTTCGCACAGAGTCCAATGAAAGAAAGGAGAATTTTCACAAAAAATCCATTAACATGACTGAATGAATTTGAATATTTAAGAATGATAACTACGATACACGGATATTAGATTTGTCTGATACTAAATGAATATCAACACTACATGATTGAAGCGTGAAATTTGCAGCAGAGAAATGAAAATGAAAGGAACAGGAGAAAACTTCATATAATAAAGAGTACAAGTTTCTGTTTACATACTTTACTAAAGTCGCTCGAGTCTCTGAAAATACACTCTTATAAATACATAAAATTTCCATGGAAAAAATTCCAAATTGATCATTTTGACTATTTTGATAGTTCTAGTGTTAACAAGGAGAGTATCAACTTCCCCAAAGTAATTCATAATTCACATTACATCATACCTCCTCATATTCTCAAGATACACTTTGTACAAACGTATAAAATTTCCATGGAAGAATATTTTAAATTGATCATTTTGACTATTTTGATAGTTCTAATGTTAAGAAGGAGAGTATCAACTTCCCCAAAGTAATTCATAATTCACATTACATCATACTTCTACATATTCTGAAACTGCACTCTTATAAATACTCTTATAAATACATAAAATTCCCATGGAAAAAATTCCAAATTGGTCATTTTGACTATTTTGATAGTTCTAATGTTAACAAGGAGAGTATCAACTTCCCCAAAGTAATTCATAATTCACATTACATCATACCTCCGCATATTCTGAAGATACACTTTGTACAAACATATGAAATTTCCATGGAAGAATATTTCAAATTGGTCATTCTGACCATTTTGATAGTTCCAGTGTTAATTTGCTCAAAGTATTGATTCGTAATTCAGAATAAAAAAGAAAAAAAGAGGAATTATTTTCTTTCCAGTTACTACACACACGACCGCGTTTGCGCTTTCTGGTCGTGTCTGTTCGCCCTGTCGAAGATCATAGAACTCGGCGACACGGTGTTCATCGTGCTACGAAAACAGCCGCTGATACTATTGCACTGGTATCATCACATAACAGTCATCTACTTCACATGGCACGCATATTCGCTACTTGTCGGCACAGCCAGATGGTACATCGTGATGAACTACTTCGTCCACTCGTGGATGTACTCGTACTACGCCGTGAAAGCAATGGAATTCAAACTGCCGAAACGGTTCGCCATGATGATCACCACGATGCAGCTACTGCAAATGGTTGTTGGGGCTGTCGTGACAGGGGCGACCTATTACTACGTGAAGAAGGGCCAGAAAGAATGCCACGCGACGGTTCTCAATTCCACTTTCGGTCTGCTCATGTACCTCAGTTATTTCATTCTGTTCGTCAGATTGTTCCAGAAGTCTTACCTGTCGAGCAACAACGAACAGAAGAGACAGAGTCAGGATCACGCCTACGAGAACAAGATCAAAACTAATTAGAGTGCAGAGATTTGAAGATTTTCGAGTCGAAGAGCGCGTTTTTTTTCCTGGAGACTCTGTTTTTTAGATCTCTTTGGGAAATGTTTTAGAGACTTTCTGTTGCCCGGAGGCACTCGCCCTCGAGAGACGTTTGAAGCCTCCTCCTTCCTGAAAGTGTGTATCTGTCGATTTAAAGTGCAGAGTGATTGATTTCGATTGTTGATTAATCAGAGTGGAATGACAGTACGATTGAAATAGAAATATCACGGGACTGGCGTGAATTTCTATAAGTTAATTTTTATAACGTTTCCTTTATTAGCTTTGTAAGCTAATAAAGTTTCAAGTCTTGTGAATTTCATTCGGCGCGAGAGAAAATTTCCTCCTGACGAAAAGGAACTTGAGTTCCTGAAGACTTGAAATTCCTTTAAGCCTCTCTATCATTAGGAATTAACGTGTCGCAAAAAGAACATTTCATTGCATTGCGTGCAAAAACATTTAAGTGTAATCACAGACGGTGAATAAAAAAATTCTGACGTTATAACAGATATTTTTATGGATTTCTTGATGAAATTATAACGTAAATCATTTGCATGTTATTTTGCTCATGAATTTATGTATTTGTGATTTACATATTTTAAAGTATTAACTATGAGACATTTATATATTCCAGTTTTTTTGATAGGGATGTTAACGATTCATTTCCAATTTAAATTTTAAAATTAAAACGTAGTTCAATCGACTTTGGTCGATCGAAACGAGATAATTCCTGATCGCGTTTCTGTGAAATTATTGACAAAATTAAGACAGATTTTGTCCAATGTTAAACGTTCCTGTTTTCTAATAACGATTCGAACAAAATACAAGTTGATGTCCTAATTAAGAAATAAGAAACAAGTATTTAACACGTTCGCGACCGACGAATTCGTTAAGTGTTTATTTGGCTTCGTTAAATATTTACTAGTAACGATTTATCGTTTGAAACGAAGAACTTTTTTTTTCTTTGTTAAAGAAAAAAAGCAAAAAAGCAGAAGACTAAAATATTTTGAAAATTATTTCTGTGAGGGATCAGGATTAGAATTTGAAAAGACGTGAATTCACATAATTCACAATAAAGCATGTGTGAGTTGATTTTTTTCCTACGCCAAGATTACATAATGTTCGTAGGTTATGTATGAAAATTGATTAGATAGAGGAAATTTATACGCTCCTGATTTATACATTTATGTAAAAATGGACAGAATGATACGACGAACGATAGCAGAAAATTAAAATTATGATAATGCACAATGGCGGAAAGTAGTTTTTATCACGACGTAAAACAAATCATTTAGATTCGATTTTTTTCCTTCTAGCCGTAATTTCCTCCATGCCTCACAAAAGGGGAAGTGAGTTCAATTTGATTTTCTAGAGGGGCGGAGGGACAGAATTCGAGAGTAAATTATTAACAGTGAATTTTCTTGCATTCTTTTAAATGAAAATTTAACTTTGTGAAAATTTCTCTTCTTTCATGCATGTCATGTTCTTTCGAAGCTTGTTCAGATCAAGTCAATGGGCGTTTTAGACTTCCTCCACGTCAAAAATTTGCTTTTTGAATAATAAGAATTATGTGTCACATAGGAGTGAGGCATGGCCAAAGAAAGGTTGCGAACCACTGTTCTACAGGATGGGCCAAAAGTTTCTTCTCATCTATTTTTTGTTAATAAAACATCAAAATATAAGAAAAAAACTGTTTTTATTAACTTCAAAAATTAATAAATTTTTTTAGTTTTTATTGATTTTATTAACTTCAAAAATTAATAAAATTTTGTAGTAGAAAGTGATTTTTGGCTCACCCTGTATTCATGAAAAATATAAATTCGCAGTCTGGATATTGCATTGTCCTATTGTACACATTAATTCGTTTGTTTTTTTCGCAATTTATTTGTCTTTCTTTTCAAATAATCGACGACGTTCCACCGAGTCTATACTCCAGTGAATGACGTGAAGTGTACACACCAA